CCGGTGGGTAGCAGGGAACAGGCAGATTAGAGAAGAGGACGTTCGGCTAGCGAGATAGGCCTCCGGTGCACGACCCCTGGAAGTCTACCAGTACGCCACAGCGTAATAAATACATTACTAAACGTAACAATTATAAAGAGAAAGAAGTGTATACCTAAGGGCTCGTTTTTCCGTGTTTTGACACAATATTAAGGAGATCTAACAGAAATTTTTTTTCGCCCACTTTTCTTTCTTCTTATTTACATTACATTGGTTCTAATAACTTCCTCTGTTAGATAACATATATATATATATATATATATATATATATATATATATATATATATATATATATATATATATATATATATATATATATATATATATATATAAAGAGAGAGAGAGAGTGAAACTTTAATGACGGGCTCGCACTTCGACATAAATCTGCTAACACAGTGGTGGCGCAACGCGCTTTCTTAGAAACCACGAAGTTCAATCACACTTTAACAGGCCGAGGCCGAGTAATGGCGCCCTTAGCCCTATTTCTGCGTATAATATGCGACGCTCATTTTGCTATCATGCGTATCTCTCTCTCTCTGATTATGTTTAGGTGGTTAACATCTACAGATACCGCAATACTTTGTTTAATAAATTTATCACGGATGTTAGTCGTCGGGTTGGAGATGTACCAAGCGTCAACGAGGATACATCCACGTTGAACGGGGCTATAGGTGTCAAACACCAAAAACATACATTTGGCAAACTCTCATTTATCAATGTACAGTAAATATTCCATCACCTCTCTAAATGCGCGTTTTTTTCTAATTTACTGCTGCTATAGCTTCCACTTCCAAGTTATCCTAAGCAAGGCTGATCGGGCTTATCAGAGACTGAAGAGGAAACAATTTTCTGGCGTTTCAGTGCGGAAAAACTTGAAAACCAAAGACAAATTGTCACCCTCGTCGGCTCGCAACAGCTTCGACAGAGCAGCGACGATGATATAGCATTTTAGAGGAAAATTATTTTCCGGGAGCAGCAAGTGATTTTGGCCAGTTCAAAAAAAGTTGGCTCGTTCGAATTCCTAACTGCATCAACAAGTCACAGCAGAATAAAAGCATAAGCAAGTTATGTAATAATATAGAACTCTTCTTCAGTGCTTGCCTGCTCTGCAATACTACAGTACAAGACGCGAAAACGTCGCACAGGCAACCCGCATCGCAAAGAACCTACAAGGAAAGTTATCACAGCAGCAATATTGGCAACATTTTATTATGTTGTAACAGTGCCTCATAACATTTTCATTCTGCCATAAGAACATAACTGAGAGATTACTGATGTGACAGAAAACTTTGCCTTACTTTTTGGTTTCCCCAGCGTGCAGCCAAGAGTGACCACTGTCGAAAGTGGGGGGCTCAGCCCCCCAACTTTTCTCAGTGGGGGGGGAGGGGGCTGGTACCCCCCTTTCCCCCACGGCTGATACGCGTATGGGGTAGAGGAACTTTCACAGCGCAAACACAGACACACCACAAAGAAAGAGACGACGCACACAAGTGCTGACTAACACTGCATTTATTTCGGGAAAAGTCGGTGCATGTTTACCTGGAAGGGTGCATAAGTGACACGTTCCTCACGCTGCACCCGTCCGAATTCGATTTCATTTCCTCGCTTATATTATACACTGCTTCATTTATCAACTCAGATTACAATATTGTGTGTGTTTTTTGTCGATTGCGTAGTGCATGTGCGATATGGCTGCCTTGGTGGTATTTATGCACCGACTTTTCCTGAAATAAATGCAGTTGTTAGTCAGCGCTTGTGTGTGTCGTCTCTTTCTTTGTGGTGTGTCTGTGCTTGCGCTGTGAAAGTACCTCTGATCATCAACCAACTAGGCCCAAATGAAATTTTACTGAATAATATTAATTTCTGGATAGTAGGCTGGCATTCGCTATGCTATTCCTTCGCCATTCTTCTGAGAACCGTGGTATCTGCCAAATACTTGCAAGGAACTTTGTGCCAGTTGTTCATGCAGTGGCTGATGACGATTAGGAATTATGCCTGAAGTGTGTTAGCGCCACAGTTAATGGGTGATTAGGAACAAGCTTTTGTAATGGGTTGGAGCATCGGACGACCTACTCGTTACGCAATTCGCATTGTGTGAAGCCTGGTTGTTCTTTTGCTGTTCCAAAATGTTTTATTACTCATATAAATGCGATTCCCTTTCCTGGCATCGAGCCTGCTTAAGGCAAGTTTGCGAACAAGTCCCAAGCACCGCCATGACCTGTCGTGTGGGCTCCTCTGAATACACGTATTTTGCATTCGGAGGAGCCCACACGTGAAGCCTTACTCGACGAATGTCGCAACGCTAAAATCAAACATACCAAATCTTTACTCGGGAGGATTAATAATCAATAATTCCAGTGAAATTATGTCAGAATTGGAAACTTATTAGCCTCTTCTGAAAATGAAAATGAAGATCTGGTGACGCAGTTTTTGTCATTTGTGACTCCTCTAAATGATGAGTAATGTGAATCAATTAGTGGGCCATTCACTATAAAAGAAATAGAACTTGCCATTGAGCAGTTACCATTGCCAAAAACTCCAGGACCTGATGAAATGTCTTACGAGTTTTACAAAAAAAATTATATCACTACTGCGCCCTGTACTGCTCGACATTTTCACGCTGAGTTTGAATCTCGAGACGCTTCCTCGATCTTCTACTAAAAGCCACACTGCTCTAATGCCAAAATATTCAGATAGAGAAACACTTCGTCACGTTGATGGCTACAGACCAATTACATTGTGCTACGTCCAATACAAACTTTTGCAAAGAAACTTTCAAACAGACTTCAATTTGCAATGTCGATACTTATCGGTGTCTATCAGAACTGCGGTCTAAAAGGTCGCTCAATACAGTCTTACGTGCATATTGCTCGCACAGTATTGGAACATTGATCACACTCATATGAACAACAGGCAATACTAAAAGTAGACTTAGCGAAAGCCTTTGATCGGGTTCGCTATTTTTTCTGTTTTCTTTTTTCGAACATGCCAACGTTTGCTCCACTATATTCAAAGATGTGAAACTATGCTACAGTGAATGTTTAAGCCATTTAATTGTTAATGGCTATCTTCCAAAGCTCGTGTTTTTTAACTCGTCTGTGAAACAAGGCTTCCCGTTGTCGCAAGTGCTTTTTGCTCTTTACTTGGAGCCACTGTGATTAAGCGTAATTCGATCTAGTAATGTCCGTGGTTTCAGTGCTTATGAGAATGAGGCAAAGGTATTGGCGTATGCGGATGACCTGGCGTCCTTTCATACAGATTTTTCTAGTATAAAAATGGTGGTGTCAACAATCAGAGGATTGGGAAAATTTTCAGTGCCACGAATGAACTTGGCTAAAAGCTTGAGACTGTGGTTTGACCCGTGGACTTATAAGCCAACCATTTTTCTGGTTATAGAACAGTCTTGTGTTCCACCAAAAATTCTAGGCATTCCATTAGATGCATATCGATAGAAAAGTACATGTACCCACCCTAATGCGCTACGCCCAGATGTTTATTCCTCATAACATCTCCAACTTTGGCAGAGCCAAAACATGCAGCCTGTTTCTGGCAACAAAAATATTCCACGTACTGCAAATAATTTGTTGTTCGAGGGTTTACATACAGAAATTTCACCGTATATTTGCTAAATTCATTTGGTCATCAGCCTACGCACCGATGAGGCAAGACAATGTTTTTAGACCTGTCTGAGCAGTTTGTACACCTTTTTAATAGAGAACTGGTGTGGCACTTTTCCTATTTCGTGACTGCGCTCATACACAGCTTCGAACATTCATTCAAGTAAATTTTATGGATGTGGTAATAAACTTAGTAGTATCTATTAATTTTGCATCGCCTCCCTATCTGCTAGGGTTCATTCGTGAAGTATACGAATCATTGCGTTTTCTGACAGCCAGATTCTCCAATTATTACTTGTTTTCTAGCTCAAGAAAAAACCAATATTATGCTGTATTGGATGTGCTATTTCCAGTCGCACTTCACCGCTCACTATATATTGGATGTTCTGGCCATGACGTGCTATTACGTGTAACGAAAATGCCTGTTTACCAATAACCAGGACATTTTTTTCACAAAGTGCATACAGAAACAATACCTGTAAAAACTTGGTTAAACGCCAAAAGCATACTTGTATCCTCAATCAACTGCCGTCTTTATGAAGTTCCAGAAAACAATAACATTGATTTATTAGTTGTAAGGACGCCATCATTTTCTGGGACGTCCTGCAGAGGGATTATAAGAAACGACAAGATTCAAATTCTCATAGTATCCAGTTATCTTGTACCACTCAAATGCAATGATATGCCTGTTGACATCTTGTCGGTAATGGGCATGCCCAGTTTATGGAAAACTCGCATGTTGGACAGGCATGCGGAACTAATGGTGTCTTCGCGATGCCACTTTTTACAATCGACTGTGTAGCTAAAATACTTTTATGACTAACTGCAATTTTCGCCGGACTGGTATACAAAGTTCATGAAGTGTGCTACTCGGACACACCTTTAGAAATTGTGTTGTATGAAATTTAGTTTGCAACGCCCATTGTACATTTGTCGAATTGACCTTATGTATGTTTTGTGCTATGTATATACGTAAGCCACATTTGTATTAAATACCATAAACGGCGTGGTTCAGTGCTGGCACGGAGCGGACTCGGGTTGAAGCCCAACTGTGTCTTTGGTACTACGTTTTTTTTTATTTCGTGCGATAGTGCTTACGGGCACCGGCAGTGGTGGCGTCGGACAATTACGGCGCCGCAAGTTACCTGAGTTGTGATCTCATAGCCGCTTTCACTGTAATAGGGGAAAAGGTCACCACTTTCTGTTGAAAATCCACAGAAACATCACTGTATTTTGCTCCCACACTTTTCACCCTGTTGAGCTATATCGCGCTTCGTAATAACATTTATGTAGATGCATACTTTGTAGACGATGTCTAAACTATTGTTGCCTATTCACTCGCAGGGTACCAGAGTATCCAGGAAGCACTTCGTGGCCAAAGTACTCATCTGAAACACCAGCATCGTTTATTCTGACGCACAAGCAACGCCACTGAAGTATCCAGCTTCAAGTCCGAAAACTGTGTCCTCTTCACTCAGTACTTCTGAAGTTAGCATGCCACACCACATCTACATTTATTGTACAAAGCGTTCTACTCAGCCGGGCCTGACGGGACGAGTAAGTAGTCTCAGCGAATTGCAAGAACGATAAGCTGGCCCGAGACATTATGTGTCAGTCTCGAGGTTTCAGCCAGAGATACCCGCCAGTCGGAAACAATAAAAATACGGTAAAATGGTGTAAACATACATTCATTGTCTCATTCACCCTTTTCAACTGCAATCAGTCTAACCCATACAACGACCGCTCACTGTTTAGGCCGATGCGGCCGCCGCACCCGCCAACACCTCGACAGCTCAGCGCTGATTGGCTAGTCATTCAATTTGTGCTCCTTGTTCTCTGTCTCTCTTTTTTCCTGTTGTTGCACTGCCCTTTGAAAATGAGCCTCCAATTCAGTTCTCTTGGGGCTGTAGACGCACTTTACTAACTTGGTACTCCTATTATGCCACTGCGTTATTATTCGCTGACTGTTGATGACTCAAGGTGCAACAGATCGACACGCTGATAACTGCCGTAGACCTGCGCTGCGTATTGCTGACGACAGTGTAACGCTGCCGCCTCGAGCGACTGTTCCCATCGAAGTCATTTGCGAAGACCTCCGGGACGGGGACGTGGTGGCCGAAAGCAACCTATCCCTTCTGCTCCTCCAAGGTGTATGCGCCGGCCGAAGTATTGTGCATGTCCGTGACGGCCAGTCACAGATACTACTTACGAATTTCAACTACGAACAGCGACATCTTTTTCGCGGAACCACCGTTGCATATGGAGACCCTGTTGCCGATGTCACAGAGTGCTTCGCGTCTGAGGAAACGACTGACACTGAGAAATATCTAGATTAAAATGGCGATTTGACGCTGTCATACGAAAGGAAATCTGCTCTTCATGACCTTTTAAAGGAGTTTCAATCTTGCTTTGCCTCCCCTTTTAAAGTCTGTCAAACACACCTCACAAAGCATCAAACTATTACCGACGATGGCATCCACCCCATCCGGCCGCAGCCTTACCGCGTTTCTGCGAAAGAACGTGAGTGTATACAGACACAAGTAAAGGAGGTGCTCGACGACGGGGTTGTTCGACTATCCAGCAGCCCTTGTTGCTTACCAGTCGTTCTAGTAAAGAAGAAAGACGGAACGCTGCGATTCTGTATTGACTACAGGGAGCTCAATAGCGTTACAAAAAAAGACGTCTACCCGCTTCCACGAGTCGATGACTCTCTCGACAGGTTACGATGCACGAAGTATTTTTCGTCCATTGATAAAGAGAGGCTATTCGCAGATTGAAGTGGATGAACGAAACTGAGAAAATAAACATTTGTGACTTCAGACTGACTAACGAATTCCAAGGTATTCCCTTTAGCCTCTGTTCTGCCGCAGCCGATTTTCAGAGGACGATGGATACCATTGTGGTTGGCTTGAAGTGGCGGAACTGCCTTGTTTACCTCAATTATGTGATCGTCGTCTTCGAGAGATTTGTATTAAGAACATCCAAAGTACCCAAGAAAGGTTCTGGAAGCCATTCGCCTAGCTGAGCTCACGCTGAAACCCCAAAATTGTCATTTCGGCTATGAAGATCTCAAATTTCTGGGACACGTCGTTATTGCGGATGGTGTGCGACCTAATCCAGACAAAACTGCTGCTGTCGCCGCCTTCCCTGTTCATCAGATAAAAGAGCAGTACGCCGTTTCCTCGGCTTGAGCGCATATTATCGCCAATTTATTGCCAACTTGTCGAAGATAGCTGAACGTCTTACGCGACTCACTCGAGATAGCGTGCCCTTTACTCGGACTGCAGAGCAAGATACAGCATTCACAGAGCTACGGCAGAGAATGCGAACAGCCCCTGTTCTTGCCCATTTCGATGAGGACGCTGCTACGGAAATTCAGCCAGATGCCAGCAACGGCGGACTTAGAGCTAGCCTTGTACAACAATATGGCGTACTCCTTCTCGAGCCGAGATTACATCAGAGAAAGAATGCCTCACAGTCGTGTAGGCGACGACCAAATTCCGGCATTACCCCTACAGTTATACCATCAAAGTGGTGACTGACCACTCTCTCCGCTGGCTGGCCAATCTCGGAGATCCACCTGGCCGTGTCGCTCGGTGGAGTTCGCGCTTGCAGGAGTTCGACATTACGACTTTGTATAGGTCGGCACGCAAACACGAGGATACCGACGCGCTTTCTCGAGTGCCTGTGGGACACGCTCTCATAGACTGTTAGGATGAAGATGGCTTTCTCAGAACAGTCAGCGATTCCGACTTCATGTCAAGACAGTGATTAGACCAAGAATTGCACCCAGTTATTGATTTCTTGTAGGCCGGAGCTCCCAGGTATATCGGCACATTGCTCGTGAACTGTCCTCCTTTTGTCTGAAGAGAGGTATGCTTTGCAAGAATGGGGTGGAGCACATTTGGCAAGCACTCTCAAATTATGACAGGTAGATTGCCACTATCCCTCAAGAGGAAGGTATATAACAGCTGTATCTTGCCGGTACTTAGCTACGGAGCAGAAACCTGGAGACTTACAAAGAGGGCTCAGCTTAAATTGAGGATGACGCAGCGAGAAATGGAAAGAAAAATGGTAGGTGTAACCTTAAGAGACAAGAAGAGAGCAGAGTGGATTAGAGAACAAACGGTGGTTTAGGATATCATAGCTGAAATCAAGAAGAAGAAATGGACATGGGCCGGGCATGTAGTGCGTAGACAGGATAACCGCTGGTCGTCAAGGGTAACTAACTGGATTCAAGAGAAGGCAAGTGGGTTAGGGGGAGAGAGAAGGTTAGGTGGGAAGATGAGATTAAGAAGTTTGCGGGTATAAATTGGCAGCAGCAAGCGCAGGACCGGGTTAACTGGCGGAACATGGGAGAGGCCTTTGTCCTGCAGTGGACGTAATCAGGCTGATGATGATGATGATGATGATGATGATGATGATGATGATGATGATGATGATGATGATCCTTTGCACGTGAAACGCTCCTGGTAGCGAAAAAGCTTTTCTACTGGCTGCTCTACAACTTTCACCGTCGAAACGTCGTGTATACCGCCCTGGCGACCGAGTGTGAATGTGGATCCTTGTCCGACGACCAGGCTTATCCGAAAAAACTTGTGAGTCATTATTTTGTACCGTAAAAGGTTTTTAAACGTGCCACAGACCTTACCTACACCGTAAGCAAACTTTAGCCGAGATGGGAGTTTTTCCAGCATATGAGCTCCCACAACATTCCCTGCCCCAATCATTTACTCCCTGGTAGCGGAGTAAACTCGGCACATGTCGTCGTGAAATTCTCCTCGCTTAATGACGGAGTTTATGAACGACATGGCCGTGTTAAGCTGCCCATGGAGTTTCTGGTCGCTTGATTAGAAACTAGCTATGGGAGTTTTCAAAACTCTTTTTGATCATGTCGTGTGTGTGTGTGTGTGTGTGTGTGTGTGTGTGTGTGTGTGTGTGTGTGTGTGTGTGTGTGTGTGTGTGTGTGTGTGTGTGTGTGTGTGTGTGTGTGTGTGTGTGTGTGTGTGTGTTACTCCGAAGTTTGCGAGCTGCATAGTATGCGGGACACTGGCGACGAAAAAAAATTGTCCAATCTTCCAGCGAAGTCTTAAGACTGCCGCGTTCTGCGCTCACGTGTTACATTCGATTAAATGGGTTTCTTTTCAACGCAAGAGCAGTAAAAAGCTCGTTTCGCAGAAATTCCGGCGTCAGTGTCGGCGTCGTTGCTAGTGAGCGGAAAATCCTCATTTTATGTGAGACCAAAAACATTGAGAGAATCTTCGTAGACTGTCTTGCTAAGGAATATTTCACGCACACGCAGTCTTCTACGACGTCTCCTGCGTCGGTTAACTGTATACACGATGATAAGCTCATTTGGAGCCACCTCAAATTCTGCTAACAGCTGCTTGCTAACCGGCGCTCATTTCCCAAAATACGAAACCAAGTTTCCGTCAGTGCAGTGATTCAACCGTCGTAAAAATCACAGCATACCCACGGAGCGAATGATGATGGGTGGGATGGAGCGTCCATCAGCCCGTCCGTGCCTCCGTCCGTCTGCGTGACCATCCGTGCGTCCACTCATGCGTCCGTCCGTTCGTGCGTCCATCTGTCCGTATGTCAAGCGCGTTGGTCCATCCGTCCGTCCGTCTGCTAGTATGTCTGTCTGTCCATCCGTGCGTCCATCTTGTGAACACTTCAAGTACCGCCATCTTGCATCCACTTAGGCACATAACCGTTCTAGAGCGGGTGTCATTAGTGGCTACATACATACATACATACATACATACATACATACATACATACATACATACATACATACATACATACATACATACATACATGCATGCATGCATGCATGCATGCATGCATACATACATACATACATACATACATACATACATACATACATACATACATACATACATACATACATACATACATACATACATACATACATACATACATACATACATACATACATACATACATACATACATACATACATACATACATACATACATACATACATACATACATACATACATACGGCGGAGGAGCGACAGACCCAAGCTCTAAGGAGCTTCACTTATAAAAATTGCGGACGATGCAAGTAAAGTAAATGATAAAAAATTCTAGAGCAGAGTGAGGACCAAGCCAGAGTTGTTTAGGTCCAAGCGGGGATCGAACACGGGTTGTTGGCGTGGCAGTAGGATGTTTTACCACACACACACCTCTTCTTTTGAAAAAAATGAAAATAACTTCCTCTGGTTGGAAATGCCGTAAAAGTAGCTTTCATGCTTCACAAACACACACGTCTCGTATTCATACTTCACAATGCAACATGAAATATTGCAGTAATATTGCGTCGTACAAGCGTCCATTGCTAACGGGCGTCAATATATGTGATGATCATAATGGCTCCGTAGTTCAAAGCCAGTACCCCACAGCAAAAGGCACACACGCTACTGCGCCTATTCTCTTATAGCAACGTAGTGGGTGCATAGCAAATTCGAAGAGGTTTCATGCATTAAGTGTTTGAACTACTCTCTAGGAACAGGATGTCACTATCACGTTCAACTCCTAAAGGCGAAGCTTTAGGGTCGCCTTATTTTATTTTCCTTTCATTCAACTAGCACTGCTTTCCATCTTAACGCCGTTAAGATGGAAAGCAGTGCTAGTCCCGGACGAGAGGTGGGCCCGGACG